ATAATCGTCGAACCAAAGAATGAAGACTTTCCGTCCCAAATCTGTCAAGCAACTCGGCAGGTAGATCATTCTCCGCGAGAATTGAGAAAGAATGACCATCCTGCGACCAGCACATCACATCCTTGAATTCTAGATCATCGAGCACACTTGTTCTCCGTTAGAGGCAAATGTACAATTGGTATTCCAGATGAGGCTTACTCGCTAAGGCTTTGAACAAAGGGCTCGGTATGTGAGGCAGGCTTTTGAAGGTCAGCCTCTCGGCCTACCGGTTCAATCCCGCTGAATCCCTCGCTCTCAGCAGAAGCCAGATTTGGTGCTTCCTGCGGGCCATCAGCAATCGGCTTCAGCTGAGCGGCTTGCTCAACCCCGTGCATCGTTCGAGCCACGAGCAACGGGGCTCCATTGTCTTGGGCAGAAGCTGAATCCCCAGTTGTCTCCTGGGCCAGGGCCTCCAGGGTACTACCCTGGTCCATACCTCCTGTGCTCATGTAGACACAGCCTGGTCCTGCCTTCTGCCCATCGTGTGCTTGATCCTCGAGAAGTCGGGCAACAATGCTATGGCGACGGCCCAGCTTCCGATCTAGTGCGGATGTCGCGTCCAAAACTGTACCTAAAGGTTAGATATGGTAGATTGTCTGCTTCAGGACGTCTCTGACCTCTTCTTAGTTTCTGCTCGATATTGGAGAGCTCCTCTCGCGTCTTCTCAATCGCCCCCAATTTCTTTTGACAATCATCACTTCCTGGCCATGGAGAAAGGAATCGCCATGGTCGGCCAGATCTTATTAATTGATAGTCAATTTCCGGAAGATCCACGTGTGAATCGCCTATCACCAGCTTGGCTGAACCATCATATGCGGGGCCTGCAGCCAGTACGAGTGCAGCCCAGTTGATTCGGGGTCCATCGACAACCACTGGTTCATTTGTCGTGAAGAGAGTCTCTAGACTTCTGCTCAACCGCGCGCAATATAGCGTTTCCCCACGACCAAGAGCAATACTAGAACCAGTATTGAGCATGGAATGATATTCTTCCAGCATATTTGAGAATTCGTTTAAGGGGCTATCAGCGACTTCAAGAGAGCGTAACTCCTCTTTGCCTTGAGGGTCTGCAAAGCTAATCGCTTCACCGACCTGCAGAATTCGCTTAACGGTCTGTATAGATCCGTGGCTGGTAGATGTGGCTTCCCAATCCATGTTTGCACTTTTTTGTGCTCTTGAGAATATATTATGTGAGGCGAGGCGAGGTATTCCGCGACAAATGCACTTTCGGCAAACGCTGACGGAATTTGGACAAGTTAGAAGCTGACCAAGATGGCTCTAGTTGACTGCTTACGTAAACAGGCGCGGCAAGTAACTAGTGAACATTTTCAGCCACCGAGCCGCGCCCATTCCATCGGAATATCTTCTGAGCCTTTTTTTCCATTAAAACCAACGCCATTATATTTAATCAAACAAAGTATCTGAAAAGATAGATATTTACTAGGGCAGTCTCGAATTGTATATCCCACTATCCCATGGCCACTGCAGCGTTGCGGAGCTCGTCGACGAGGCTACTGAGCAGTTACAATAAATTCCGAATCTGTTGTCGGTTCTGTTTCCGATACGGTATCACTCATCCGATATTATACTGTGGACGCGTTGAAGCATATGTGTAGATGTATACATGGTTATGATTTTAAGTTACAGGATCTGCGCGCGCTTGGGCCGCCGTTCTACACTCAGAAGTCGGTATAAACCAGGAATGCCGTCCAGGATTGACGATCCTTCAATTTCCTCAAAACCTTCTTTGGTTCCTGCTCATTTTTTCACGGCCGGCTCTAAGGACCTGCTAAACTGTCATTTTAATTCGTTCAATTTAAAGAGAGGATAACTCTCACCTCCTTGAGGGATCTCACCCAGACCGTGATGCTGGCAATTTCGTTCCGGGCCCTTGTTTCCTGGATCTCTCTGATGATGCTGTTTACACGGCTCGCCAACATGCGATCGAATTGACGTAACGCCACGGAATTGGTGCGAATCTCTCTCAATAGTATTGATTCGAGAGAAGCTCAACGACGAGTTGTAGTGTAGCGACTGGCCGAGATATTGCGCAAATCGGTAGCGCTGGACATTGCTGCGAAGGTTTTTCTGGCGTTCAAGCCATTCTCGGTAAAGATCATCCCAGCCCACGACAGCTGCTCATGGCTTCCAGACATGATATATGTTCCATCCCATGAATTTGGGCGATCGCTTCGCTGTGTTACCTGAATCCAAATTTTACCGAAAGTATGAGCCAGTTTTTCGCCGCGTCGCTAAGTTGATTTTTTGAAGTTTTATCGCCATCTCTTTGGTTGTGCCTTTCACGCAAGACATCAAACAGTTTAAGGGCAGTTTCCTGGCTAGGGTTCCGGACGTTGAAGACAAAATCTTCGAATCAGCAACGCCGACACTCTTAAGTGCAGCTAGTTCAAGAGAACCGCCTGCTTCAACACAGTGGTGCCAAGATTGGCAGTCTGTTTGCGTAAACAGCTTCCCACAAATTATGGTAAAAACGTCGTAGTGGAGACAAGCGCGATTAATACTCTTCTTCTTGTTCTTGTTAGGAATCATTGTCATTTTCAGGAAGTCTGCCGAAGAAAACAAAATCGGCACGCTTCTTTAGACAGTCGCGATGACATTGTACGATTGGCACCTATTGCTTCATTTTTGTAAGCCCAGCGCCCAGTTAAATATCGGGTTTACATCCAAAATTGGAGGGAATGCCTTTTGATTGACTGACATCGCATGGCAGATGTACGAAGTAAACACCATATAAAATGTCCTCCAGAATTCCATAAAAGGGCATTCTGGCATCAAAGCATCCTCAATTTGATACCTTGCACCATGTAGTCATCAACAAAACAGTGAGGGGATTCTAAATCTGGGCAGCGCATAGGAACGTAGAAGCCGACGAGACGTTCACGATTATCTGGACGAGCGAAACAGCCGGGAAGAGTCTTCTTGCAAAATGGACAGCACGGTTCGCACTGTCGCTTCCTTAGATACTGAACGGCCAATAGAGGATTTCCCAGGGCTTTGGAGAGCACAGAATCGTGAAAGAATTTGTTGAAACAATCATAGCAATAAACGTGACCACAGCCTAATACAAGGTCTACCACTTCACAAAAGCATATCTTGCATTCATAATGCTCCTCAAGGGAGCGGCCTGTGCCCTTTCAGCAACGGTATGTATACACCAGAGAAGGTGGGGGAATCATTGCTCACCGCGGGTGCCGCACTCCTTTTGCTGGAGGCTGTTCGAAACGGTATCAATAACATTTGTTGTATGACTGGGCACCGTAGTTGTAGCATCAAGGACAATCGGGTCATCTTTTATGATCAGGGCGGCTATTGACATCATAGTGGAGCCGAAACTTACCGATACTATCTCCTGGACGGTGCGAGCGATGTGAGAAACTATTGGACTTCCTCTCCACGTTACTGGAATTACCAGTTCCAATAGGGTTCCCTGCAAATGGGCTCCGTAGATATGCCGAGGAAATACCGCCCTCATCCTCGTCGTCACTTGTTAAAGGGGTAGGGTTTGGGGACGTTGGCAGCAATCCTAGTTCCGCGGCACTCTGGGGGTGGCCGACGGGCAAATTCCGGAGGTCTCTAAGGACAGGAACGGTCAGGCTCGAGAAAGGGGGCATATATGGTTCAAAGTGACAGTGAACAATAAAGAGAGATGGTCAAACAAATCAAGGAAGAAGACTATCCCATATGCAGCGTATAAGTTGTAGGTTGAGTTGGGGGACCGGGCAGGCTTTATATGTCTGCCAATACTCCAAGTTAGTCTTAGACTGGAGGAAAATTAATGCTGGCTCTGCTTTACATGGAGCCAATACCGGGTGAGAATGATGCCTGTGGGCAAAGCCCCCGTAGCACTTCGACTTGGCTGACCTATGACATTTCTCCAGGGGTAATTCGGCTCTCCATCCCATAAGGCCGAGAATTCTTTGCTCGCAGCACGCGTAAAGCGGACTGGCTCAGGCTATAACCGGTGTTTGGCCTTGACGGTCTGGCGAACCGCGCAATCGCTCCTAGGACGGTCACTCACCCCAGGATGACGGACAAGACTCCTAGGAACATTTGCTGCGCTCCGGAGACACCGTTTGGCAGTCCTCGGAGCACGGTCTCTCCCACGTTTTACCTCCTTTGTCAGGAGAGGGGGTTTGCTAAGAACTTTCCCCGCCACTGAGTTATTATAAGAAATGCCGTATGTGCCGGAGCCTTTTCATACAATCGTTCCGTGCGCAGTTTTAAAACGTCCTTCACATTGACTTGATCATCTGCCCTAGTCGCCATAGAAACCCACACGCACTGACATACCACGCCTACCAATTTTTCTGTGCTTCAAGTCCGAGTTTCTCTGACACCATATCATGCTACTCGACCTTCCCAATGAGATTCTTTTGTGCATTGCTGAAAGTTTTGACCTGTCCCGCGACATCTTGGCGTTTGTCCAAGTTACCAAACGAACGTCTCGCCTGCTACTCCCGGTTCTCTACAAATTCAACATTGAAAAGCAACACAGCTCGGCATTATGCTGGGCAGCCCAGCATGATCACTCGCCGTTGGCAGAACGACTTGTTCGA